AAATTTTTAATCAAGGATTTAGCTTTCTGCCTGAATCAAACTTAAAATGTTTGTTTGTGTTCGACACAATGCATTGACTGTAGTTTAATGCATATTCTTTTGAGTCTGGGTTCACAAAGATTTTACAATTACTGGGAATGCGTTTTTATAATAAGCATTAAATAATGCCAAAATGGGGCATTTTTATTGTCACTTTTATTTCAGAGGAATTACCTTAAGTAAGGAACGCGATTACGTCACTGACAAAAAAGCCTCACACATCCACAATATATATTCCAGTTAAAAACACAGTATATCAATGAAAACTTGAACTTTAATTGATTACATAACACCTTCAGAAATTAGAAATTATATGGTGTAATTATAATAATTAGTTTTAAAAATAGTATGGGGTCGGGAAAATATAGTATTTTCTGGTCATTTAGTTAGAAAGCAGAAAATTATTTTTAGCACCTAAACAACACCGTATACAATTGCAGTCAACTGACACATCCCCACAACTCACACAGAGAAACACACCATGTTAGAAGAACTACAATGACAAAACTTACTAGCAATACATCCTGTGATGAATCATGAACTTAATTGCCCTGCATCGAGTCATGGAAAACGATTTGGCCCAGTAACACCACGCGCAAACCGATACATAATTCACTGAATCCCTGAGTTTTGTAAGTTAAAGATTAAAATTCTCCTAACACTGAGAAGTTTGCAACCTGACTATAGAATTCTGTAACCAACTAATCTATGTTAGTCTCCCTGGATTAAAATGTTCATCGTGCTCTCAGGGGTAACTATACTGGTATCTGCCTTTACAGACAGCTCTGTCACTGTTACACCACGGGCAGATTAAACCGTCCGTTTGAATTGTGTGTTGAAAAAAGCTTAATGGAGTCATGTGTAGTTTATTATTGTCTTCTTCGAGCAATTCGTATTTCTTTGAGCAGTATATGGCGTCATTTTGCGAGTTCAAAAGGATAAGCTTGATCAAGCTCGGGTTGAAGACTGAGGGAGGAGAACAAGGCGATTAACATGTCATTCGTTGGCCGCTACCTCCCCAAATGTCCAAACTTCAATCCCGGTAAGCATGCAAGTCAATTTAAATCCATCGAACAGCGGATCTAGGGAGTTCGCCTGGGCTTTCCAACTGCTAACGGAGTCAGTCAGGTGAGAAATTTAACTGCGTCAATCGTCAATCCGAGTTTGTACGTAAGGAGATAACTGAGGCCAGATTGTATATAGCCTGCCCTGTTCTCCTTACTTCATTCTTCACGCGCAGTTTAATGGAGCTCGGATCAAAATGACCCCTTATATACAGCCCAAGAAGACGGAGAACGCCACGCATGACTCAGCTAAATTTTCCTTTTAAATTTCATCAAACATTTACATTTAAATCTTAAATAGCGGGTTAATCAAATTATACACCTAGCCAGTCAATCAAAGGGTAGCCCACTTGTGCCTGTACTGCTTTAGTTCATACAAAATCTTGCTCCATTCCATACTACTCTACCAATTTTTGCTGGCCGTTGCTAGCCAGATAAATGGAGTTGACTTCTTAGTTCTAGAAATTTATATCCTTGATGGCAAAATTAAAATTTTCTCAACTTCCATTCCACACCTGTTCTGTAAGTATTTTAACCTTAATATTTTGCAAATTACATTTAATGAGTCCTAATTCTACGTGCTTGTGATTAAATAGAAACACCGTCTTTAGAAGTCTAACTCTTGCAAGTGTCACTTTGTCTTGACAAAATCCCTGAATGAAAATATTAGAGAAACGATTACAGAGCACAGGATGTATTAAGGTCTATCTATAGGGTTGTAAGAGCATATAAAGATAGTAGGGTGAGAAATGATGCATAATAATCCACAGGTACGTTAGAATGAAAAAGTTTAAGACAGGAAAGAATTATATTAGTAATTATATTAAGTTAGTAGTCTACAAGTCCACAAATGATTATTTTCCTAACTCAGTAATCAGTGAGAAATTCTCAAAAACGCCGTGTTCTAAATTTGCTGTTTGGCTCTACCAGGGAATTCAATACACAAAATTAAACACTTGTGATAAAATGTCGTACGTTGGGCTCTGAGTGATTCTCAAAGGAGCATTCAAACGAACAAAATTACATTCAAGAACCCAACAGCATTTTATATAATGATTTATGACTGAAATTTCAATTTTAAAACCTTTGACCTTCTTTCCCATTACAATTTTAAAACCTACAATACAATTAGCACCAATATTAACTAGCTCCACTGTGGAGGTCTGTAGAGGAGGAAAAAATCGAACAGGAAGAAATAAAAATAGTTCTAAGCAAGGAATGTGAAGGATGTTGAGTCCCCCTAAAGCCTTATTGTATCTCTCCTCAGCCTCTCCAAGGCATATTTTACCTCTCCCCATTTGCCACTCAACTATACACCCACTGCACAGTTAAATTCTCAGAACCAGAAAGGGAATTGTAAGCTTGACCCTCACTGGGCTACCAACTATATGTTTGAATAATGTACCTTAAGAGTCCTGGAAGTTTTTCAGATTGATAAATCATCTTGTGGCCATGACGCCCATTTAATTCGACAAATTTAATAGGATCTGCATCAGGTTTCCTGGAATTCTTAGCAGTCTCATATAACTAGAATGGAAGATGTACAAGAAAAGTATCATTAAACTGAGCGCACAGGAACAATGGGAGTTTTGAATTAATAAGTACAACGTGCATGTTTGTGATCGACTAACATCCCATCTAGAGGGGAGTAGAAATACTCTTAGTCGCTTCATGCTACAGAAATCAGAGATAAGTGCTAGCCTGATGGGTCACTTGGCTTGAATGGAGACTTAACCTTACCTTTATCCACAACATGCATGTAGCACTTAGAATCTAAAAGTTCTTAAATGCAAATTAATGTGAAATGGCATAGGCAACTCCAATACTTACCTTTTTCCCCAGTTCAAATGATATAATTTCATCATCATGGTCATGAAGTATTAATATTGGACAATACACATCTGCTAACCTAAATGACAATGCAACAATACATACAGTGTGAATGAAGGGTCCATACCTTGTGGTAAAATATTATTCACAGAAAGATGTCACAAGTCACCATGAAAGCAATCATTTTCATTCTTTAACTAACATAAAGTTACCCACCTCTTATCAGTGCGAAACACTTCCTTAACTTCATCCAGAACAGTCTCATTGTAATATGGAAGAAATCTAAAAGGCTGCAATACGAAAGTCAAAGCAATGTCAACAAGGCAATGCAGCTCAAGGAATTAAATTATTGCATCAAAATCCAGGCCTTATGGGTGTCACAGTTATCATTATCATTAAATGATTGAGGCTTCAGAAGAAGATGAAAGTTTGAGAAAATCTACGGAGGTATTTTTTGTTAAAGAGTTCTCAAGGTTTGCACATTTCCAAAGTTATGAAACAAAGAACTAAACACCCTCTGTTCTTAGTCGATAAAAGTGCTGCTTTTTTTTTTTGTCACTGACATGTATATTTTAGCAAGACGTTTCGGCTAACTCTTAAGCCTTCATCAGTTGAAAAAACTGCTTGATGTTACACGTGATTTAAAAACTTTTTAAAATTGAAACGTTGCATGTGCTGTATGCGCGTGAGTCAAGAGAATTTTAAGTGCGTGCTAAACACTTGTAAACTTCTGGGATGACCATGCGAGTTTGGAGTTATGATAGAACATCAAGACAGCCTCTTTGTGCTCAGAAATCTGCTTCTTCGGTGATCTTTCAGTCTGGCCATAGTATACAAAATCGCACTGACAGCAAGTGATTTACTCAATTTTTAAACCCTCTGTTCTTCCACTGAGTAGTCTGAGATTCAACGCTAAGGGTTCCTATACTAATGATTCAGCATAACGGGGATGGTATTAATAGTGTC